CAAATGTAACGTGAGAGTTATCTAAGTTTGATTCAGTGTAGGAGAACTACAGCTATTACGTCTTATACCTTATGAAACTTGCCGCATGGTGTGAAGTAGCTATTGTACTTGTCCAGACTTGGATAGCCTACAGCTCTGTTTACAAGTTTCAATAGGTATAAGCGGTAGAGAGTAGTAACTATTGAGAGAAGCCTTTGTGGAACAGATTTGATTGTATTTGGGACATGGATTTGAAGATGCGTGGAAGAAGAAAGTGTCTTTCTGCGTCCTTCCTTGTTCGTAATGGCACGGTGTGGGTACACCAATGAATTTCGGTACACGTGCATGAATCTTGTAAATTACTTTTCAAAGCGTAATTTATAAGTAAGACGGTGTTGAGTATTGCCGAGTAAATTTTTTATGTTTACCGTTCGACACCAGCAATTAAAACTACGCTAACTTAAAAATTGCAACTTTTTACTAGAACCTATAAACAATTTGGGTGGACTTATTAATTTCAGACATACATACGTATATATTCATGATTTTTGAAGTGTAATTAACATGAAATCCTATTAATTTTTGGATATCTGTCTGCTTGCAGGTTGAATACAATGTACCTACATAATTTTACTTAACACCTTTACATTTACTGTATTCTGGCAAATAAACGTATTCTATTTTAGAAAATAAATGATTATTACTTTTTGTATTGTTTTCTTAAGTTTCAATTTAATTTAAATCCGCTGAATAATTTGGCATTAGAGACGCAAAATCGACAAAATTCGAGAAAGCGTAGTGTTAATTACTGCTGTCGCATTTGGTTTCATAAGGGAAAAGGGCAAATAAGAATAAAACAAATAAACGTATTCGCCTTTCAGTTACTTTATTCACCTTACGCACTCATTTCGTTTTTAATGATTTTTCCCTTCGCTCCAGATAGATCGAGTTCTTTGGCAATCCCCTAGCCATACATTCCCCGCTAAAATTCATTAACGTCATTGAATGGTGTTCAGTTCTTTACATTCTGGTGACGTTTCCTATCTACGCGGTCTGTCCTTTGCTTTTTAGTACAAACATTTTTGTGTTTCTTATTAATACTTATAACTTACATTACATTAATCACTAGCATAAATATAAATTGAAATTGAATAATATAACTCTTAATAACGCATACAAAAGCGCTATTAAACTATCGTGACAATCGACACCCTCTATACGGCCACCAAATTCCCCGAGCTCGCCTCAAAAGCCGTACCATTACCTTCAATAGAACTATTCCAGGTTACGATCTGCAGTGGCCCGTGTGGCAGTCCATGAATTGACTTCGCACTCAGGTAGGTCGCTGCAGAGACAAAATGTGCAAATGGTGGTTCAGGGATGCTAGTGTAAATGGTCTAACCCAATGTGACTGCGGTGCCCAAACCATACCTTGCAGCACTTGCTGTTGTGCCCCTTGCGCCCTAATACCTGTATGCGGCTAAGGATAACGCAGTCTAGGTGGCAACTTACAAACATTCAAACGATAAGAAGAAGTAGATAGTAGACACCACAGAACAATAATTACAGTAGAAGTGGTTAGTTCATAGTTAGCGTCTGATGCGTGCCAACATTAGGTTTCGAAACACCTACTAGAGCTCAGTCCGCCATTTTCGTTTTGTGTGTTATGGTTGTGCCATTTTCTTGCGCAAATTTTCTAAAATAGCAGAAAAATAAACACCTTGTTGTGCTGTTTTGGATGTGAAAATGACAGCCGCACCAAAAATGTTACCCGTAGTAGTATTTCATATCATCGGTAAGCCTTATTTTAATAAATTTTTAATTTTCTGTTTATCGAATTGATTCAGATGTTAATCGTTCGTCGTAGTCCAGCTACTGGCCACAAGACGACAGCACGTCGAATAAAATTTCAATATAAAATTAAATGCAGTAAAGGTATTGAACTTTCAACGATATAGCGACTGGGTAATGTTTAAATTATATTAACAATCCAGAATTTTTTACATCTTTTTAAATTAGAAACTATGACCAATCATTGTCAAGATCTCGTAGTGTTTATTATTTGTTCGTGTGCGTTTTGGTGACAGCGGTTCCGATAGTAATCGAGGCTTAAGACACCTGTATTATTTTCTTCAGTGGTAGACACATACGGATTCAATGGAAAACGAGAAAAACTACAAATCGGTGGCATGTAACGTACTGGTTCGTTGCGACCTGCCCTCATAAACAATCAATAAATATCTAATGTCGTTTTTTTAGCAAAAAAGCTTATTAAAGATGTTTGCAACTTTTCTGTTTGCAAATCAGGAGTAATCACTTCAAAAGTAACTCACAACTTCTTTAAAAAGTGCAAGCAGTTACAGTTTTATACACTACTTATTACAACTACGGCTACATAACACTACTGCAGCTTTGGTCGTGGGCGGTTTCACTCGGTACAAATAGCTAATAGTAAAAACTTTCCTCTCCGCTTCGAGTTCTACTTGGACCGCCACGACGAGTTTTTCCTGCGGCCTTTTCAAACTTTCAAAATGAAATTATTTACAGTCGCTAGCTATAGAATCGAGCTTGGTTACTTAACCTTTCCAAAATTAGGTTGTTCAAAGTGACCTCAATTAGGTTTTCAACTGAAGGAGACTATAAAGTTTATATACGTATCTCAAAGTAACAATCCACAGGTCCCTTACTGACTTTAGTCATCGGAAAATGTGACGTCATTGCTACGAATATAAAAAATACCGAAGTAGAAGAGGAACAAATGTATTTGTTAATTTATAAGACAAATATTCTTTAATGACATTGGAATACATTAATAATTAAAGCGTAAAATGTCCTAAATTGTGTAAGTAAATATTTTTTATTTATTTATTGTTAACATTTTAAAAGTTAATGTCAAGTTTATTTTTAATATATTTTAAAAGGACTAAAAACATTACAGCATAACATAAACTTAACTGAATTTTCCCGTTTATAACTCATTCGACATTCAAAAATAGACACTATAGAATAATATATATGTAAGTGCATTGATAGACAGACACCTGTATGTTTATGAGTGTCGAGTATATTAGGGAATGAAGGACTGACGACAAAAAGTGTAAGGTAAATATTAATCACAATATTCTAGAAGCACACTCTAATGAAGCCATGGCCACACCCGAGGGCACGGCAAACATTTTTAATCCGCGCCGCATCTCATAAATTTCAGAGCGTGGATGAAGTCGCTTTTGTTTTTCTTCGCGAAAGAAATATTTTTCGCTAAATTTACAGCGCTTAGTTGCAACGGCGCAAGTTTGCGGTGGTAAAATTTCCTTTTATTGCGCGAGTTCATTGTCGTTGAAGTACCGTGGGCGAGAATGATACAGTGGCTCTGTATTGAATACGAGTACCCACTTTGAATGGTTGCTTGTTGCGATATCACCTGTGAGCTTTAGCGTGCGATAAATCTGAACTAGTTATACGCCAGCTTTGTCTTCACCACGCTGATTGTTCGCTTTGTTGATATCAGCTTTACGCTGATCGCGCTTGAATGTGATGTTCAGTCGACCTTTATTAGTAAACACGCATAATTGGTATTTATATAATATACCTTTTGATTGATTTCACTTAATATGAATATAAGGTCGTTAATTAATAGTTTCTATATTGATTATCATAAAGCGATATCTTGTGTTAAACATAAACAATTTATAATCGTTGAGTAATATTCGAGTAATTAATATGCGGGGAATATCTCAGGTGTCTGCTCGCCTCAAACTTTGCCAATAATTTTGATTTATGAAAGCCACCGCTTGGATCTCGGGAGTTTTCGCATGATATTAGGAAATTCCACATAGTTGTCTCATGATCAAATTTTCCTAGCACTGTTATGTTCTTTCGGTACAAGACTGGCCAAAATAGTTGTCGGATCGCTCATGAGTCATGATAGATAAGTAGGAGTGATCACAAATACTAGGTACAAATTACTCATTTTAACAAGCCAATGTCTTAAATTGCCTCCATGGCCGAACAGTTATTATGCTGGACTGCCACGCAAGAGGTCCCGGGTTCGATTCCCGTGTCGGGAGAAATATTTGTATGACCTACATTTATTCGTGAGTTTGGGTGTAATTTGTGGTATCTATGTATGTGTCCATGGCACCCGCGATACAGGGTTTCCCTAGTGCGGGGCAAAATTATTTTCCATACAATGATGGATTGTAAATATTTTTTTTTACAATCCATCATGGCTGTATGCGTCTTTGCTTTTTACATCATTTTAGTTCGAGTTGTATTGTCTATGGAAAGAAAAGAAAGAAAAGTAATTTATTCAGCACAATACACGTGGAGTACAATATTAATAATTAGTATTAAAAGTGTATTATTGCACTGAAAAGGACCCAACTCAGCTAATACTGCAGCAGGGCCACAGCGCTGGTTTTCAGTGGACCCTTTTCGAAAATGCCGATTAAAGGAAATAAAAATATATGAATAAAATAAAAACAAAACGTGGACGCGAGTTAAATAAAAACTTAAACATGAAACAATATAATTAAATAGGAAACATAACACAAATTTCAACTAATGTCCCAACAAAGATTCACTCTGCTTTTTCTTTTTAATTTTGTATTTTGAGGCGCTTTATACAAATAAAATTGTTCCAGACGTGTTTTGTAGATTTAGAATGTGCTCTTTGAGTTGACATTTGAACGCATAAACGGATTGTGAAAGAAAAATATGGGAGAAAAGCTAGCTGGCCATCTGTTGATAAAAAAGAAAAACAAAAAGCCGGCCTTTACAAAATCCATAATTGTTGTAACAAGAAATAAACATTATATTTATCTCCTCGCAAATGTAATGAAAAACATTGTATGAACCACGGGCAGTACATAAATTCAAAACTCGAGTTATTAAAGCCCGAAGCCGAAGGCAGAGGGCTTCTGATGGACCCTAGTTAGTAAATTCTTATTTGCCCAATGAGGGGTGATCCAAAAGTAATGATAATCAATAATAAACACAATGAATATAATAAAAAAATAAATTTATTTCTCAACATAGTCTCCTAGCAAGTCTATACATTTAGTCCATCTCTTTTCTAAACCTAAAATTCCCTTAGAAAAAAAATCTTTATCTTGACTCTCAAAAAAGTCCTCAACCGCGGCCATCACGTCGCTATCATCGTCAAATTTCTTGCCTCGGAGGTGTTTCTTGAGTCGTGGAAAGAGATAGAAGTCACTGGGGGCTAGATCTGGTGAATAGGAGGGGTGTTCCACCAGTTCAAAGCCCGCTTCCTGAATGGCAGCCATGGCGATTGCAGCTTTGTGAACCGGTGCGTTGTCTTGATGGAACAGCACGCCAGCCCGCAGTTTGCCTCGCCTTTTCTCCTTAATAGCCTCCCGCAATCTTCTTATTTGTTCTGCATAGTAGGAGCCTGTAATAGTGGCCCCCTTTTCCAAGTAGTCCACCATGATTATTCCTTCAGCGTCCCAAAAAACAGACGCCATAACAGTCCCTGCTGAGCTTGACACTTTGAATTTCTTCGGCGTCGGTTCATCGGATCGTTTCCATGTCATCGATTGTTGTTTTGTTTCAGGATCAAAATGGTGGATCCAGGTCTCGTCCATGGTCACAAAACGTGACAAAAAATTATCCGTGTCTGCCTGGAACTTTTCGAGATTTGCTCTTGACATGTCGACTCGTTTCTTCTTTTGCTCGTCGTTTAACATTTTCGGTACCCAACGCGCGGTGACCTTTCTCATATGCAATTCGTTCGCAAGGATTCTTTGAATGCTGCCATATGAGATCCCTGTGACCTCAGCAACATGCCTGATAGTCACTCTTCGATCTTCCAATACAACTTCTTCAACTTTTTTCACATTTTCTGCAGTGAGAGATGTCAATGGGCGTCCTTCGCGGTGTTCGTCTTTCGTCGATGTTCTTCCCAGCTTAAACTCCTTAGCCCAGCGTGCAACTGTGGAATATGGAGGAGAAGAGTCCCCTAATGTTTCCACCAAGTCGCTGTGTATGTCTTTGGTAGACATTTTTTTCAAGCAGAGGTATTTAATGACAGCTCTGATTTCGTGTTTTTCCATTTTGATGTTCACTCCTTGACAGTTCGTATTCAAATGAATGTAGCTCCCGGGAATCGTGGCCTATTTATATGATTTTTTTTTCCTGAACTAGTGGGTAACTGAGCAAGTGACTGATATTTTTTTTGTATTTTTGTGTGCACTAGAAATAACTGATTAATCATTACTTTTGGATCACCCCTCGTACTATTTGTTCTGTGGCTGTGACTGGTTATAACTAATTTTGGCACGTCATCTTTAACCATCTTTTTTTTTTTTCGTAATTTTGAACTTTAATTGCTGTCTATTTGTTTTTTTAACCGACTTCAAAAAGGAGGAGATTCTCAATTCGACTGTATGTTTTTTTTTGTATGTTTCTTACGCGATAACTCCGGTATTTGTGAACAGATTTTCATGATTCTTTTTTTGTTGGAAAGGAGGTACTTCCATAGTGGTCTCATTTCATTTTGAAGAAAATCATCCGCCTCGAAGGGTGGCTGTTCACGCATAAAGATTCATTTTCATAAAAAGCGCCTAACATTAATTTAGGAGCAATTATTTTGATGGTTGATTTTGCTATTTCTCCAATTCAAGGCATTTTTCTCTCAATATACTTTGAGTAGTGAGAACTGATTTTTATTATCTCCAGTGTCAAGTCCTGTATAGTGGCGAACTAGGGGATATTTAAACTTAGCAAATAGACGTAATTCCACGTACTTTTGAGGTCGGTTTTTTTAGAACTCAGTACTGAGATTATTGTATTGTGTGATAGTTTCGTGATTCAGCAAATACGTGTCTTAGTTGTGACTTTTGTGTTGTTCGTGTTTGTTTGAGAAAGATAATTAACTAATCACAAATATGAAATAATCAAAGCTAAATAATTAATCTTGTAAACATATATATCCCTTTCTTAACTAAAAGCAGTTAAGAAAGGGCAGCGTGTACCCGTCGTGTAGTTATCGCAAATTAAAGGCAATGTGATTCGTCAATGCCATAGTTCATATTACAAATTGTAGCTGGTTGTGTGCACACTGGTAGATTGTTTTGTTTTCCTTATATTTTATTCGCAAACTTTTTACATGTTTGGAATGACACTTGTTAAGTCAATTTAAAAAACTTTCATGCTTCAGCTAAAAGCACGAAATATTAGAAAAACATTGGAATTTTATATATATAACAGTGTAATTAACGTTGTAATACGCTGGATTTGATCATTGGTAAGTGCTTACATTTTTATGCTTTTTTTAATAGTTTTTTTTTGTGCCTACTTCAACTAAACGACCTTGAAAATTCAGGGTAAAAGACCTACAATCTGCTCTGTATCATATTGGAAATTTCTATGCAATCAAAGGCTTGATCTCATGTGGGGCTCAGATAGTTTATTTCTTTTGCTAAATCCGAAAGGACTTATAGTCGATTGTCGCGTGACTTGTTACAATATATGATGACAATTTTATTTGAATTGTTTTGGCTTACACAGCTACTATAGGGTTTTTTAGCAAGAATTTTGTTTTGTAATGATTTACATTTTGATAAATAAAACAATAAATTTAGACAACAATGATTCAAATTTTTATTGTATTAAAAAAATAAGGTTTGCCAATTATGAATGAAAAATGTTACAGATGTCGATTCTTTCATCAAAGTTTTTAATCACTTTTTGACAAAATGGTGGGTCTATTTCGTTAATTACTTTACGAATTTTGAGTTTGAACGCTGCAATCGATTCGATTGGCTCCGTATAGACTCTATCTTTAACATAAGTAACCCCATAAAAATAATCCAGCGGTGTTAAATCACATGATCGAGCTGGCCACTTAACGGCTAAATTTCGTGAAATTATGCGATCGGGAAATTTGGTTTGCAATAAATTCATTGTTTCGGTGGCTGTGTGACTGTACCATGTACGTAAGCCAACATCAACTAAATATAAAGAACTAGTAACATCTGGAAAGTTTCACCGGGCTTAAAGAATCTATTACTTCAGTTTCTGACCTAAAGAACGCTACAAATGTTTTGATGTTTATTTTGTAATCTTATTACACAGTTTAATTATTTTTATTACAATTTCTAAATGTTATACCAACGCTGGAAAAACGGATTCCAATAATTATTGTTTGTGTTAATTTTTCGATGAATCAGGAATCACAACATGATTAAATTTAGGAATGAAACAGTGTTTTCGGATCTATAAATCGCGTATGTTTGTTTTTTTTTTAAACAAAGTAACGTTTCGGGCCCTTTACAGGTCCCATGGTCACGACTCACTGACGGCGCGGCAGTCCGAAAAAACTAGTTTCATTTCCTATGTGTAACAATGGCAAAAACCTAAGAACTCGAAATGATTAAATAATGAAAATTTGTTGCATTATTATGCTTGTTGCTGCAGTCATTGATAAGTCTTAGGTAGAAAGAAGTTGCAATAATTATTATATTAAACAATTATCTAGTTAATTAGAACCGAGAAATTTTTTTCGAATCAAAATCATGTGTGTTTGTTGTTCAAGCAAACTACAAAACAAATCAACGTTTCGGACCTATTACAGGTGCCATGGTAACGCTGACTGAGATGGTAAAGTCATCAGTGTAACAAACGCAAAAACCTAAGAATAACTTCTTCATTACAATAACTTTTTTCAGTGTAAGCAAATTTGTTTTCAGCGCCATATTTATGACGCATTTTATTATTTCATTATTGTTTCCCTGCGGTTGTTTTGTTTTCGTACTCCTGTACATTGTGTAACTTGTTTAGTAAATCTCTTTAATTATATTTCGTCTGACCTTGCTCAGTCATCGTTAGCATCCAATCCGCATTAATTCTGTCTGCTACAACTTCTTTTGATAACAGGATCAATATTGGTGACTAAGTCAATACTAGCGACACCAACTCATAGTATAATAAGTCTAATTATAAGGGAATAGTTAAAAAAGCTATGGTTTATGATTTAGTAAAATGTAGTCCCTTATTGTATTATTGTAGTGCTGTAACAGGGTTTAATGGATAGGATTTTGGTAATAAATTACGATCAAATAAAACTTACGAAACGAAATGTCATCATTATTTTTATTTATTTATTGTATAACATCAAGTGACGGAATGAACAGTCGTGCGCCTGATGGTAAGCTACACGCGTGTCCATAACAGTTGCAATGCCACTCAAAGCTTTATATCGCAAAGATCTGAGGGGCACTGCCAGTGCGCCCGTCACCATGAGACATAAGTTGACAAGTTCCATAGTAATGCCGACATTACTGCTTGGCGGCATAAATAGATAAGGTGGCAGTACTACCCTTTTTCACAAGGAGCTCTAGTGCTGCTAAAATTAATTAGTTCACTACAAGTACAACTAGGAAAGTACATGACATATATTAAGTGCAACAATTAATTACTGGCAAACATCACATGCCACAGATTAGATTAAATAGTAACTACGTCTAATTATTTCACAACTGTAAACAAAATTACTTAACAATTATTTTAATTTAATAGTACAACCTGTATAGTAGCTAATGCTGTACAGATTGGAGCCTTTACATTCATAGTTAATTCATTTTAAAAGATGTGAATTTTTTTAAAACAGTAATTAAATAAATATTTGTAATAAACATTACCTACTTACTTAAGCCATAATTTCAAAACGGCGGCTTTCTATTAAGTGCCTTAAGAACAGTATAGCATTACTTACCTTTAGTCGTTTGAAATGGCTCATCTTCCCGCATAGAAACTCTTCACGCGAAAGAGACATAAACTTGTGAAATGACAATTTTCATTGCAGTTTTCGAGAATATTCCTCGTGGTTTACGACGCAGCCTGCTAAAGTTTGACTTCAAAACTAAAATACGTTCTAGTTTTTGTGACTGTAATGTTAGTTATTTAGTGTCGTGTGAAATTTAGCGTTTCCTACTTGTTTACTCAATTTAGACGACTGTTTTACTGCACAGTAAATTTTATTTTTTTAAATGTCTGACGAAAGTTTGTTCTAATTTAATTTGGTTTCATTTTTTACTGTTTTGCAAGATCTGTTTCTGTAGATGTAGGTAAGTAAATAATTGTTTTAGTGGTAAGGGAATTCAAATTGTCTATGGTTGGTTTTTTCTCTTTATTTTGTATAATAAAGGGTTTTGCAGACAGCACACATGCCACGCTTATCGTTCTACGTTACATTACTACCGTCCACACATATTTAGCTACTAATTTATGTAACGCCTTAGCCATGTCCGATATGGAAGAAGAAACCACACTGTTACAGACACCGAGATTGTCTTGCGTGATAAAGAGGTGGCTCCTTTCTGCTTAGACCCGTGCACATTCCGCTATCGTATGGTATACGTCCGCTACGTGTGATACTTATACATTATATATAACTGCAGTATATAGTCGAATATGCCTTGATCGAAATACTTGGAATATACCTCGATTGAAGCCATAACAATGGATTCCTTACTGACTCCGGCACTCGCAAATCACGGCCTCAGCTGTGTTATAACCAGTGATAAAACAACTATAAATAAAGCAAGGGCTGTGTAGAACATAAGGATACATAAGGTGCTATAATCACATAACTCTTTTTTCACACCCAAAACAGCTCCGAAATTAGCGGCGCAAACGAGCAACAAAATTTCCTTGTATCGACAAAGTGGCTAGTCCGAATTCCCATTTTGCCGATAACAATCAGTCCCACCTTGGCCATTAGGGGGTCAGGCGATGGTCAGATAGGAGGCAATTTATGCACTGCACACTCCAGCCGCGGTTTCGCTGTATTTACTTCTTTTTATGAGTCGAGATCTGTATCTGTTCCGTGCGAAACGTTCCGGCAGTGGTTTTCTATGCGGTTAATGTGTGGCGCGCAGTTAAGAGGGCGAGTACACGTGACTAGAGAAGCTTATCTCTAGATTTGTGCTGTAGTTTACGTTGAAATTATTGTTCTGAGGTTGTTCAACACAAATCTTTATAATAAATTTGTACGATGTTA